CGGAAAAAACTCTTTGAGAGAATCATAGCTACCCGCCTCGTCCGGCATTTGTCCCTTGAGTGGTCCCGACTTGTCGGAGGACCAGTTCGGGTTCCGGGAGGGCCGCTCAACAATAGACGCGGTGTTGAGGGTTCGGGCCCTCGGACCAAATAACGGAGGGGGGGTTGCGGTGGCGGTGTCTCTTGACATCGTCAACACATTTAACTCCGTCCCCTAGGAAATGGTGGGGAAGGCGATGGACAAACATCGCCTTCCCCCGTATATGAAGGCAGTCCTTTGGAACTACTTCAGGGACAAATCTATCGGGTTCCGCGACAAAGCGGGATTCGAGCGCGGACGGGGAATATCCTGCGGGGTCGGTGCTTGGACCGCTCCTGTGGGACCTCGCTTACGATAGGGTGCTGCGGGCATTGCTCCCCCTGCTACCACGTTGTTTGTTACGCGGACGATTGGTGGTGGCTGGGGGGGAAGATTGGGAGGACGCACTGGACATGGCCAACATGGCCGTAGTCAGTGTAACTAGGGCCATCACGGCCATGGGGCTGGAGGTGGCGCCCCACAAAACGGAGGCCATCTTTCTCCATGGGAGGGATCGTGAGGCCCCGCCTCCGGCCTACGTAGAAGTAGAGCCGGCCCGCATTAGGGTGGGGTCGAGCTTAAAATATCTCGGCCTCACCCTGGATGAAAAATGGGGGTTCGAGTCTCACTTTGAGACTCTAGCCCCCAAAGTGGGCAGGATGGCGAACGCACTATGTCGCCTCCTGCCCAACCTCGGTGGTCCGGGCGCCGTGGTGCGGCGCCTACACGTGAACACCGTCCTGTCGGTGCTCCTATACGGGGCATCAGTTTGAGCGACCGCTATGGCGGCCAGCCGCCTTATAAAAGCGGTGACAAACGCGACACAACGCCGCATGGCTGCCAGGATATACAGGACGCCCGCGCATACAGGACGGTGTCACACGCGGCGGTCACTGTCCTCGCGGGGGACCCCTCCAATAGACCTCCTCGCCCGAGAGCGCGCCGAGGTTTACCGGCGCGTCAGGGCGTTGAGGAGATAGTACCCACGGCGAGGACCGTGAACAAAATCAGGAGGAGGAGCGCGGTCATACTAGAATGGCAAAGGAAGATTGGAGGACCCGACGCGTCCGGCCGCG